ATGAAGGCCTAGAGAAAGTACTACAAAGCTTTAAAATATTGAAGAACAATGATATTTATACACGCTAACGGAGATCTTCATCAATGACCCTAAAGCAAGCATGGAAGAAATTTTCGTGTTGACAGACTTTATCAAAACCAAGTACCACCATTATCTAGCCAAAGTGTCATCGGATCCAGATCATCACAACCAAATTATAGACGATGGTATATACTTTCGTACTGAACAATACAAACTAGCGGCTATCTCTGGTTTGGGTACTATTTATTTGAACAGTAGCATACAATGCGACCGAAATTTCTTAAAACAAATTGGTAGAATTGGGGACGTCGTCGGAATCATTTTCAAAATTGTTGCTGACTGGAGTGTTATATTCACTTAGCAAACGTATGCTGATTATTTCGCTGCTCTTTGGTTGGCATAAAGTCAGAAATATCAAAGAATTTATTCTTCGGGAAGAGTTTAAGAACATCTTGTTTATGTTCAATTTGGAAATTTGTCGGAACCATCCAGCTCATATTGCTGTTCTTTATCAGAACTACGAACTGCTAAGGAAGCTTCAGGCGAAACTTAACGAGTTGGACCCACTAGGAAGATCCCCTCTGCATTTGGCATGTTTCTATGGAACGAAACTCCCAAAACTGAAGATTTCGGAAGAAGAAACAGCTATGAAATTCAACAAGAAACAACTAATAAAAGAAGATACACACACCAAGAGGGTGACGGATTTTTTGATGTCGAATATGATTGTTGATCCCTATCAAACTGACAAACTATTTGGATGGACGCTGTACGATTGTGCTTTTAGTGTACTGAATCTCTACGTCATACAGAAGCTTCTGAAGCAATTGCCACAGATACGTGCAATAGTTTTAGAGAAACTTAAAAACTTGAAAGAGGATTTTTTCATAGTGGTCTATTATTCCCTCGAATTCGGATACAACGATTTGTTCAGACTTACGTCTGAAATATCCGCCTTCAAAAAAGCACTTTCAATGGAAAACTGTAACGGAGAAAGTTTGCTTTATTTGGCTGTCAAATCTGGCAATCACGACAATGTCCAGGTGTTATTAGATAATGGTGTTAAAGCTAACACTATAGCAAGCACGTATAATAAAAGAAGTGTGTTACATTTTGCTGTTCAAAATGATCACAACGAAGTTGTTAGACTACTTCTAGATAGAGGTACATTTCCTGATCACATGGATAGATATAGAAACTCTCTTTTATACATAGCTTCCAGTACAGGCATCTACCAACCAGCTCCGCTTCTGCGATGTACAGTGATGTTGAAATTATCAAACTCTTGTTAGGCAAAACTCGAGGATGTCGATGCTGTTGACAAATTTGGCAGAAAACCTGTACACTGTGCTGTAGAAAATAGATACTTTGACGCAGTATCACTACTCGAGATAGGAGAATCCAGACGTAAGAAGAGAGAGGTTGTCATTTTTACAACATGATGAGAATATCGTTAATGAAGTCAACGTTAAATCAAAACTAACACTGTTTGAAGAAGCCATCGACTCAGGACACCACGCCTTGTTGAACAAATTTCCAAACCAAATAGATGATCTAAATAAAATCAATGACCATGATCACACTATTCTGCATAGAGCTGTAATAAAAAGACATAGATTAACAGTTGAGTTTCTTTTGGAAAACGGTGTCAAACTGGATACTCTAATGATTCAATTATTGAGAAAATGGAATGTCGAATTTAATGTTATCGACAATTTTGGATAGTCTTTTAGCAGTAGCAGCGATGAACGGCCATCTTGAAGTACTTTCGCTGCTATTAAAAGATGGTGGTGAGGCTAACGTTGTGGACAAATATGGAAACTCTCCTTTAGACTGAGCATTTAAAAAGGGTTATATACAGTGTGTAGAGGTGCTTTTAAATAATAGCGCTGTTGCTAAAAGTTTACAAGGGAATGATCTGTTGGATTTGGTAAAAGAACACCGGATATTTTTGAAAAAGCAGCACCGTATTGAACGTCCAGTCATCTTTTTTGCAATTTTGTCAAATAGTAAATTTAATTGAGTGCTAGTTTTTTATTTGGACGTGCTAAGGTTTTGTTACAGTTTTTACTTCAATCAATTGAAAGACATTACGAACAGTGGTAATGAAAAACCTGAGGTTCCTACCTAAAGAGTGGTTACATAATTTTAATAATGGTCACTACAGTGTTAATCGTGATTGGCGATTTACTACTTGTTAAATATTTTTAAATATGTTAAAAAACTTTTTGAAGCGTGCCTTATTTTAAAAACCCTCATTTGTGATCATTAATTTCAAGTAACCTAGTTTACTCTTTATATTTTTTTCAAAATTTGTATTACTCAAGCAGTGCTATAGTACAAACTTTTGAAATAAAGATAATTGCCATAAAACCGATACCTGCGGCTTTTTTGTTGGAACAAGAGGTTAATGTAATGTTGTTTTTAGCTGACCACGAAACAAATTTCATCCTCGTATCTTGATACAAATAACTAAAACTTAAAATAAATTCTTGAATTTTAAAATGGCCTTCAAAAAATTTATCAGATATTCCTTCTAATGAATTAGACCGTAAACCAATAACAGTGAAAGTATGTCCTTCAAAAATTCCAACAGGCAAGTCATTTATGAAATTGTTGTCGAGATAAATACTCAAATACTCCACTGTCAACCCGTTGAAGACCTTTCTATCCACTTTTCTAATTCTGTTAAATGAAAAGCGGCATTCTGCTTTATTTGTTGTCAAAAATCCAAAAGAATGTTGTTCGAGATCTGTAATTTTATTATGGTCATATTGCAAATACTCTAGCTGAGGTACGTTTTTAAAACTTGCGGGATTAAAACACGTTAGAAAATTATACCATAAATTCAGTGTTCTTAACCCATTAAGATCAACAAAAGCTTCATTTTCGATTATTTCAATCGAACAATTTTTAAGCAATAGCGAAACAATTTTCAAATTTTTAAAAGTGTGTCTTTTAATGTTTTTAATTTTCCCATCACGCACTTCAAGGTTTCCAGTTAAGTCAACGTTGATGAGTAATTCTGTTTCTATTTCTTCAACATTGTAACTGTAGAACAAAATTGAGTCGACACTTTTTGTAATGTTGAACATTTCGTTGCACAATTTTGTATTATTTAGTAAATCTACGTTGATTTTTATAGCGGAATGTTGTACCGTTATGAAAACGTCTTCCTTTATTTTAGTGCGTCTGTTAATCTTGTAAGAAATTGGGCTGATTTCATGGATTCCACATCCAACCACACTTATTAAAACACAGATAAAATTATAAACTATTATGGACTTTTTCAGCGACATATTCAATATTTTTACTAATAGGAAAAGAATTGACAGGCAAGTACTAAGTACCGAATGGAATTGGTTTGCCATCTAATTCCAAAGGGGTTTCTAGGGCAATTTTCTAATTGGTAAAGAAATGTGTAATCGTCTGCTCAATTATCTTACGAAGTTTTTTTATTGGAGGGAATTTCTTAACGAAAAAAATATGTGACGATGTAACATATTATTAATGTGTAATTTGAAACTTTTGTCAAAAACAATTGCCTATAAGTTATATGTTTAGGATAATTACCTATTGGTAATTATCCTAAACAGAAATTCTGTGTCGTTAAAATTTACTCTTAGCTATCGAAATCACGAATTAAATAGATTCATTTTACAAATGACTCTTGGAATTTTTCGTTTCGTCTAAGAGTTATCGAAACCACAGAAACTTTTTACCATCGCCGCCAGCACTAGAAGAACTGCTCCCAAGTAAAATTAGGTGTTTCGCAAATCATAAGCGGCGTTCACCGAAAAAGATTCACACTTAATATTTTCCTTATTTACACATGTTTTGACAACAGAAATCTTTTTCACAAATTTTTTGGAAAGTGGCTTTGTAAATAATGTTGAATCGAAGTAAACAAATATTTATTTTTCAATACAAAATGAGAACTACAAGCCAGTGGAAAACACTTAAAATAATAACCAAACACATCTTGCAGCAACGACTTCGCTATGTGGTGAAAATTCTTAAGTTCTTTATTCTATATCCTACTTCAAAGAGCTCTTACTCGTGACCATTTATAAAACACTGGCAAGTGACTAAATATGAACTTGTACGGATCTGGCATAAGTATTTTCTTCAAAATTGTTGGAACATTACTCCATTAGTGCCATAACAAAGATTTTTAAAATAAAAATAATTGCACTAACACTAATACATGTGGTTCTTCTGTTAGAACTCGAAGCTAAAGTAATATTGTTTTTATTTGACCACGAAACAAATCTCATTAACGTATCTTGATATAAATAACTAAAACTTAAAAAAAAGTTTTCAATTTTAAAATGACCTTCAAAAAATTTTTCGGACACTTGTTTTAACGTATTTTTCCGTAAATCAATGACAGCGAAGCTATGTCCTTCAAATATTCCAACAGGTAAATCGTTTATCAAATTATCTGCAAGATAAAAACTCAAATATTCTACTCTCACACCGTTGAAGACATTTCTATCTAACTTTTTAATTTTGTTAGATGAAAACCGGCATTCTGCTTTATTTCTTCTCAAAAATCCAAAAGAATTTGTTTCCAAATGTGTAATTTTATTATTATCATAACGCAAAGACCACAGTTGAGGTACATTTTTAAAACTTGTGGGATTGAAGCGCCTTAGAAAATTATTAGTTAAATTCAAGTGTGTTAACTCGCTGAGATCAACAAAAGCTTCGTTTTCGATTATTTCAATTGAGCCACTTGTCAGCCACAGCGAAACAATTTTCAAATTCTTAAATGTGTGTCTTTTAATTATTTTTATTTGACCGCCATAGATTTGAAGCAATGTAGTTAAGTCAACGTTGTTAAGTAATTCTGTTTCAATTTCTTCAACATAGTAACTGTAGAGGAGAATTGAGTCGACTCTGTCTGTAATGTTGAACATTTTGTTGCACAGCTTTTTATTAGTTAGTAGATCTATGTTAATGTGCCCTATAGGGGAATGTTCTACCTTTATGGTAAAGACTTCGTTTACTTCAGTTTGGGTATCAAACTCGTAAGACATTTGGCTGATTTCATGGTTTCTACATCCAATCACACTTGATAAAACGAACATAAAATTATAAACTATTATGGATTTCTGTAACATATTCAGTATTTTTACTAATATTTAGCAAAAAATCCACAGGCAAGTACTGAGAATCTAATGGAATTCGATCGCCATCTAATTTCAGAGGGGTTTCTAGAGCAACTTTCTAAATGATAAAGTAATATTATGTAATCGTCTGCTCAATTATCTTACCAAGTTTTTCTATTACAGGGAATTTCATAACAAAATAATATGTGAGGCAGTAACATACTATTAATGTATAACTTGAAACTTTTCTCAGAAGCAATATAATTCCACCGAAGGATTTAAAATACCTTCGCAATAAACTGTAAGATTTCGCAAATGTTAGCTTTAGGGTAATTATCAATATGACCTCAAACAATTAGCGCTAAAATTATTTTAAAAACACACATTTAATTTTATTTATTTTCTAAGCGGAGATTATCCAGACTGTAAGACCACCTATACACCTCGTGGACAAATATCATGCTTCAAAAAACAAAATTATCTGATAAAAATTTAAGACTGTCCTCAAATTCCACAAAAAGCCAAGAAATGAGAAGAAGGTAAACGCCAACAAAGTCAAAAAGAACATTTTTTTATATTTATAAAAAATTTTAGATTTTCCAAAGCGTCTAGAACGATGAGGTGGTTAAGTTCAGTTAATTGAAAAATACTTGAATATTAATTCTGTATTTCTGGAGCGTATTTTCACGTTTGACATTTTCATTGTTAACAATTATTTTACAAACAAGCGGAATTATTTTACATTTTGTATTTTTTTTTTTCACTGAAAGTGCTTGACAGTTTATGATTATTTATTTGATACAAGTGCATGCCCTCCACTACACTAATGAAAAATCGTGAAAAATTCTACAGTTTAGTGTTCAAAGTAGTGAAAACAACGATTGCGAAATTTAGTTATTTTGTTAAATATTTTATTTACGTTATTTATGGAAATATACAAACTTTGGCAAGTGACTTGGTTTCCACTTAGTATGAATATATGAACCATCCAGCTCATTTCCCTGTTCTTTATCAAAACTACGAATTGCTACGGAAGTATCAGGCGAAACTTAACGAGTTGGATCCGGTGCAAAGATCTCCTCTACATTTAGCTTGCTTCTACGGAACGAAACCTCCAAAACTGAAGATTGCGGAAGAAGAAATAGCGTTCAAATTCAACAACAAAGAACTGATACAAGAAGATACACACACCAAGCGGGTGATGGATTTTTTGATGTCGAATATGATTGCTGATCCCTATCAAACTGACAAACTATTTGGGTGGACGCTGTACGATTGTGCTTTTAGTATACTGAATCTCTACGTTATACAGAAGCTTCTGAAGCAATTGTCACAGACATGTGCAATAGTTTTAGAGAAATTTAAAAACTTGAAAGAGGATTTTTTCACAGTGGTCTACTATTCCCTCAAATTCGGATACAATGATTTGTTCAGACTTATGTCTGAAATACCTTATTTCAAAAAAGCACTCTCAATGGAAAACTGTAACGGAGAGAGCTTGCTTTATTTGGCTGTCAAATGTGGCAATCACGACAATGTCGAGGAGTTATTAGATAATGGTGCTAAAGCTAACACTATTGTAAGCACGTATAATAAAAGAAGTGTGTTACATTTTGCTGTTGAAAATGGTCACAACGAAGTTGTTAGGCTACTTTTAGATAGAGGTGCATTTCCTGATATAATGGATAGATACAGAAGCACTCCTTTACACATAGATTCCAGTAAAGTCATATATCAATCAGCTCAGCTTCTTCTGAATTATGGTTCAGACGTAAACTTTGCTGATAACTTTGGACGCACGTCTTTACAACTGGCAGCAACCTGTTAAGAACCCCTATTTTTTATGTCATTAATCAATTAATCAAGTAATATTATAATATGTTATTCCAAATCTGTAGGCTAATGTAGGCAATTAATGATGTTTTTATCTCTTCTGATGCATTAGTTCAATAATTGTATCAATTTGTCAATATCAAACATCCGAATGGATTTTGATCTTTCTTGTTTTCCATTTAAACTGAACCATGTACTTTCTTTCTTGTAATTTGGATATATAAGGAATCTCTGCTGTTCTAATCATGAAGAATATACTCAAGTCTTGTTGCGGAAAGTTATTGTGATACAAAGTGATTGCGCTATCGACTACTGTGTAAAGATCCTAAAAATTGTCTTCAGTTAATAAAACCTGTTAGTAGTGTTTGTGCTGCGTTTTCTTTGAAAAAGTGTAACAAGTTGTGCTGAGGCATAACAAACCCTTGGACACCTTCCGATTCTTCAGTTGTTGCTTGACCACGGTGCTTCAGTTGACAAGTGTGATAAGTTTGGTAAAAGTCCGCTCAGTTGTGGTCAAGACAAGAATCATCACAATATAACGAGCGTACTACTAAGAGAAGGTGCGACCACTCCGACTACATTAAACAGGAGACTTTCAGCGATTGAGTATGATGAGTATACTTCTTATCAGTTACATTGGGCTGCTTATACAGGACAAGCTGAAAGAATAGAACCTTTGTTGCAAGATGGTTGGACTATCAACTACGTTGACCATTTTGGGCGCACTCTAATTTATAGGGCGGTTACAGAAAAACATTTCAGAATTGTGGAAATGTTTATTGATATAGAAGCTGATGTTGATATTCCTGATAATAATAAAGTCGTGCCTTCATGTATAGCAATCAGCAATGGTGATCGTAGAATTACAAGTTTGTTACTAAAAAGTGATACCTCTGGAAATGTGAGAGATAATTTCGGATATACGCCCTTACATTGGGCTGCGATGTTTGGTAATGTTGAAATTATCAAACTCTTGTTAGGCAAGACTCCAGATGTCGACGCTGTTGACAACTTTGGTAGAAAACCTGTACACTGTGCTGTAGAAAATGGATACTGTGACGCTACTCGAGGTTGAAGAATCCAAACTATCAGAAGTAGCAAAAGAGAGGTTGTCATTTTTACAACACTATGGGAATATCGTAAATGAAGTCAATGGTAAATCAAAACTAACACCGTTTGAAGAGGCCATCGACTCAGGAAACTACATCTTGGTGAAGAAATTTCTAAACCAAATAGACGATCTAAATAAAATCAATGACCATGGTCACAGCATTCTGCATAGAGCTGTAATAAAAAGACATAGATTAACAGTTGAGTTTCTTTTGGAAAAGGGTGTCAAACTGGATACTCTAGACAAGTGTAATAGTTCAGTTTTGCACTGGGCTGCGATGATCGGTGACGCTGGAATCGTTCAATTATTGAGAAAATGGAATGTCGAAGTTAATGTTATCGATAATTTTGGATATAGTCCTTTAACAGTAGCAGCGATGAGCGGCCATCTTGAAGTACTTTCGCTACTACTAAAAGAAGGTGGTGAGGCTAACGTTGTAGACAAATGTGGAAACTCTCCTTTAGACTGGGCATGTAAGAAAGGTTATATACAGTGTGTAGAGGTTCTTTTAGAAAATGGCGCTGTTGCTAAAAGTTTACAAGAGGAAGATCTCTTGGATTTGGCAAAAGAACAGCGGACATTTTTGAAAAGAGCAGCACTGTATTGAACGTCTAGTCATGTTTTTGTAATTTTGTTAAGTAATAAATTTACTTGAGTGCTAGCTTTTTATTTCGACGTGCTAAGGTTTTGTTACAGTTTTTACTTCAATCAATTGAAAAACATTATAGTGGTAATGAAAAACCTGAGGTTCCTACCAAAAGAGTGGTTACATTATTTTAATAATGGCAACTACAGTGTTAATCGTGAATGGCGTGATTTACTAATTGTTAAATACTTTTAAGTATGTTGAAAAACTTTTTGAAGAGTGCCTTATTTCAAAATCTCTCATTTGTGGTCATTTATTTCAAGTAACCTAGTTTGCACTTGATACATTTTTTTAGAATTTGTATTATTGAAGTAGTGCTACAGTACAGATTTTTGAAATAAAAATAATTACCATAAAACCGATACCTGCGGCTATTTTGTTAGAACAAGAGGTTAATGTAATGTTGTTTTTAGCTGACCACGACACAAATTTCATCATCGTATCTTGATACAAATAACTAAGATTTAAAAGAAATTCTTGAATTTTAAAATGGCCTTCAAAAAATTTTTCGGATACTTTTTTTAATGTATTAGACCGTAAATCAATAACAGCGAAAGTATGACCTTCAAAAATTCCAGCAGGCAAGTCATTTATGAAATTGTTGTCGAGATAAATACTCAAAAACTCCACTGTCAACCCGTTGAAGACCTTTCTATCCACTTTTCGAATTCTGTTAAATGAAAAGCGGCATTCTGCGTTATTTGTTGTAAAAAATCCAAAAGAAAGTTTTCCAAGATCAGTAATTTTATTATGTTCACATTGCAAATACTCTAGCTGAGGCAGATTTTTAAAACTTGCAGGATTAAAGCGCGTTAGAAAATTGTACCATAAATGCAGCTCTGTTAACTCATTGAGATCAACAAAAGCTTCATTTTCGATTACTTTAATCGAACAATTTGAAAGCAATAGCGAAACAATTTTCAAATTTTTAAATGTGTGTCTTTTAATGATTTTAATTTTCCCATCACGGACTTCAAGCGATCCAGTTAAGTCAACGTTGATGAGAAATTCTGTTTCTATTTCTTCAACATTATAACTGTAGAACACAATTGAGTCGACTCTTTCTGTAAAATTGAACATTTCGTTGCACAATTTTGTATTATTTAGTAAATCTACGTTGATTTTTATCGCGGTAGGTTGTACCCTTATAGGAACTTCTTCCTTTACTTTGGTGTGTCTGTCAATCATGTAAGATATTGGGCTGATTTCATGGATTCCACATCCAATAACACTTAATAAAACGAACATAAAATTATAAACTATTATGGACTTTTTCAGCGACATATTCAGTATTTTCACTAATAGGAAAAAAATTGACAGGCAAGTACTGAGTACCGAATGGAATTGGATTGCCATCTAATTCCAAAGGGGTTTCTAGAGCAATTTTCCATTTGATAAAGAAATGTGTAATCGTCTGCTCAATTATCTTACGAAGTTTTTTTATTGCAGGGAATTTCATAACAAAAAAATATGTGACGATATAACATATTATTAATGTATAATTTGAAACTCTTGTCAAAAGCAATAATTCTATCCAAGTATTTCAAATATCTGGGCGCTAAGCTGTAGAATTTCGTAAACTTTAGGTTTAGGATAATTACCAATGGGTAATTGTCCTAACAGATATTCTGTGTCGTTAAAATTTACTCTCAACTATCGAAATCACGAATTCAATATATTTATTTTACAAATGACTCCTGGAATTTTTCGTTTCGTCTAAGAATTTTCCCAACCAGAGAAACTTTTTACCATCGCCGCCGGCACTAGAAGAACTTCTCCCAAGTAAAAAGTATGTGGTGAAAATTTTTAAGTTCTATATTCTATATCCTACTTCAAAAATCTCTTACTTGTGACCATTTATAAAACACTGACAAGTGACTTAATATGAACTTGTACAGATCTGGCATAAGTATTTTCTTCAAAATTATTGAAACATTACTCCAATAGTGCCATAGCAAAGATTTTTAAAATAAAAATAATTGCACTAACACCGATTACTGTGGCCTTGCTGTTAGAACAAGAAGCTAAAGTAATATTGTTTTTGTTCGACCACGAAACAAATCTCATTAACGCATCTTGATATAAATAACTAAAACTTAAAAGAAAATTTTCAATTTTAAAATGGCCTTCAAAAAATTTTTCGGGCACTTGTTTTAATGTATTAAATCGTAAATCAATGACAGCGAAGGTATGTCCGTCAAATATTCCAACAGGCAAGTCGTTTATCAAATTGTCTTCAAGATAAAAACTCAAATATTCTACTCTCACACCGTTGAAGACATTTCTATCCAACCTTTTAATTTTGTTAGATGAAAACCGGCATTCTGTTTTATTTCTTCTCAAAAATCCAAAACAATTTGTTTGGAGATGTGTAATTTTATTATGATCACAACGCAAAGACCGCAGTTGAGACACATTTTTAATACTTGTGGGATTAAAGCGCCTTAGCAAATTATTAGTTAAACTCAAGTTTGTTAACTCGCTGAGATCAACAAAAGCTTCGTTTTCAATTATTTCAAGTGAGCCACTTGTCAGCCACAGCGAAACAATTTTCAAATTCTTAAATGTGTGTCTTTTAATTATTTTTATTTTACCGCCATTGATTTCAAGCAATGTAGTTAAGTCAACGTTGTTAAGTAATTCTGTTTCAATTTCTTCAACATTGTAACTGTAGAGCAAAATTGAGTCAACTCTTTCTGTAATGTTGAACATTTCGTTGCACAACTTTGTATTAGTTTGTAGATTTATGTTGATGTTCCCTATAGCGGAATGTTCTACCTTTATGGTAAAGACTTCGTTTACTTCATTTTGGGTATCAAAGCTGTACAACATTTGGCTGATTTCATGGATTCTACATCCAATCACACTTGATAAAACGAACATAAAATTATAAACTATAATGGATTTCTTCAACAACATATTTAGTATTTTTACTAATATTTAGTAAAAACATCCACAGGCAAGTATTGGGAATCTAATGGAATTCGATTGCCATCTAATTTCAAAGGGATTTCGAGAGCAACTTTGTAAATGATAAAGAAATATGTAATCGTCTGCTCAATTATTTCACCAAGTTTTTTATTATAGGGAATTTCATAACAAAAAAATATGTGAGGCAGTAACATACTATTAAGTAATAATTTGTAGCTTTTGTCCAAAAAGATTTCAGATACCTAGGCACTAAACTGTAGAATTTCGCAAACTTTTGTTGTAGGGGTAATTATTAATATGACCTCAAACAAGTAGCACTGAAATGATTTTAAAAACACAAAATTAATTTCATTTATCACCTTAAAACATCAACTATCGCGAGAAACATCTTTCCTTTTTCCTGACAGCTTATGCTTTATTCACTGCATTAATTATATCATGCTTCAGAAAACAAAATTATCTAACAAGAAAAGATAAGAATGTCCCCAAATTCCATTAAAAAAAAATTGGTCTAAAGAGTTTAGACAGTACTTCCCTCGCTGTCGGAAACTTAACGACTGCATGCCTATTGTGTTTTTTTTCTCATTACATTTTTGCAAGGACACGTATATCAGTTGGGATAGATGTAGTGTAATACTAAGAATAAAATTATTATATTCTCAAATTTTCGGGAAAATGAATTGGGTCGTTTGAATATTGATTTGTAATAATCAATAAAATAACGAAACAATTTACTCACGTATACCTACGTATCAGAGGCAACTGAAAATCGTGTATGTATAAACATTCTTAATTTAAGATGACAGGCGTAACAGCATACGTGAGAGCCAAACAGAGAAACTGTAAACAAAACGACCGTCGGTTTTATTGCTTCGACTTCCGCTTATTATATAAAACATTGGGTTTTATTTTAATTCTTGGCGGTGAAATTCACAATTGGTTGATTATAAACATGTCTATTTCACATTCGCGGAATCAAGTGAACGCATAAAACAAATGCAGGTCTGTAATGTTAAAGTCGATGTAAATAAGCGTGCTACCCTTATGTTTCAACCGAATTTTTCCTTTAACAAATTTTGTGTCTACCAAATTGGGTTGGTTGGGGTGTAATACTAATAATAAGTGTTGCCTTTAATCTAATCAATAAAATAAATTGACTTCATTAATTTTTTTGAACCACCTCTTAAGAAAATCTAAAAAATATGAATAGAATGATAAATCACAAGTACAAACTCATCATATTTTTTGCATTTTAGATAGGATTTATTCAGCAAAATTTAAGGGTGACGTCATCAATTTTTTTAGGAGGGATGAACAAATACATTTTGAACAAAAGTTGACCATGCTTATAATAACTTTAAAATATTCCCAAGATTTCAAAGCATTCGGTTTTGTAATTCCTGATTAAATCGATAAAATAAATTCACGCCTTCATTAATTTTTTTGAGTCACCCTGCATATGCAAATCCAAAAATATGAATGGAATGATAAATCACAAGTACAGACTCATCATATTTTGTACATTTTAGATACGATTTATTCGGCAAACTTTTGAGCTGACGTCATCAGTTTTTTGTAGAAGATAACCAAATATATTTTGACTAAAAATTTATTATGCTCTTTATAACCTTAAAACATCTGCAAGATTTCAAAGCATTCGGTTTTGTAGTTCCTGATTAAATCAATAAAATATATTTACGCATTCATTAATTTTTTTGAGTCACCCTGTATATGCAAATCGAAAAAATTTGAATGGAATGATAAATCACAAGAAGAGACTCACCATATTTTGTACATTTTAGATAGGATTTTTTCAGCTAAATTTTGTGGTGACATCATAAATTTTTTAGGGGGGACGACCAAATACGTTTTGATCAAAAATTTACCATGCTTATGATAATTTTAAAATGTCTTCAAGATTTCGAAGCATTCGGTTTTGTAGTTCCTGAGTAAATCAGTAAAATAAATTTACGCTATCATTTATTTTCTTGAATCACCCTGTATATGCAAATCCAAAAAATATGAATGGA